CATCAATAACAACAAGTATAGTTGGTAACTATAGCTTTGTTTTCCCTGTCCTTCCTTCTTGACTGGGCCTCTTTGATGACCTTGGCTTTGTCATCAATAACAACAAGTATAGTTGGTAGTGACAGCATACCTTGCTTAATGGAATTGCTTCTCATAAAGTTGGTATGGTGTCAATATTTTTCTAGACTATATGATGGCTAACATTTTTGCATTTTACAAACATGGAGGAATGAGCATGCTTATTTGATAATCTTCACTGCCAACTTGATTGCATTTGAAAACATACTACTAGGTGTGTGTCCATGAAATTGTTCCTAGAGGAGTTTCACTGAGGAAGGAAAACCTACCTACTATTCCTGTACTGGGTCCTGGATTGAGTAAGAGGAGGAAGCTGGCAGAGCACCATCCTGGTGGGTGATAGAATGTGACAAGCTATCTTATGCTCCCACCACTCTATTTTCTTGCCATTTCCTGGCAAGTCACCTAATCGTCAGTGCTCTGTACCTTCAGACTGTGGTCCCAACTTAAATACTACTCTGTTAAATTGCTTTTTGTCAGGAATTTTATCACAACAATGAGAAGTAAATGATACAGCTCACCGAGATTTGTACTTTTACACAGACCCTTCTAGTCCTTCCCACACAGATATGCTTGCATGCATAATTATAATAGCCTATATTTTAATCTTCTGCCTATTATGTCATAGGTCATGATTTATTACCTCACAAGTGCCTTCCTTGTCTTTGTGGAAATTTAACCTTCCATCAAAAGAATGTATAGTAATTTGAATGTCAAGTTCTTTTACTTTTTATATCTTGTTGCTGTGGTTTGCTTTTCTTTAGGATAAATGTCTTAAAACAAGATCACCGAGCCAAAGAACATGAACATTTTTATAGTTCTTGATGCATGCTGTTTTGTTGAACTTGATTGAATTGAGTCAATTGCATAAATTATTTTGTTTGTTTGTTTTTGATTCTCTGGTGATGACCTGGCTTCCAGCGGTGACCTCTGTAGCCAACATGACACATAGATGCCATCATGACTCGCTGATTTTTTTCAGTCACATCTTTCTGACAAAAATATTCTTTGGGGCTAAAAATGTCCTTGCCTAGTCCTTGCTCAAGAGAGATTTATAGCTTGGAAAATCTGAGTGCAATCTCGGCAGCCATTTTTCAACCAAGAAAGGAAAAAGCACAGTTCACACTTACAAAGCAATTTGGATTTATTTTTGGCTCTTTGATTATGCTGAGAGCCTTTGGGATGCTTCATTTCATTGCTTTGTGTGGAGGAAGAGTCCCAAGGTGAGAGTTGTCAGGGTTTGGAACAAATGTTTCTGAAGACAATAGCTAGTGACTTGCTGTCTCTTTAAACATCTTCTTTTGTGTTTTTGTTGCAACATTTGGACTTTCCTATGGGGCATTAATGTGGCACAGCTCTGTTTTGTTGAGTGGATTCTGGTAAATATGTTGTGGTTCTCAATGGGGCACAAGGAAGTGATGTGTGGTAAGAAGTAAGTTGAAAACATGATGTTAGGACTGGTACTACACTTAAATTGGAAGAAGTGGGTAAATGAATTCTACTTTAGAACAATTGTTATCTATTTGGCTGTGGGTTTTTAGATGATAATGTTAACTCATATTAACTGTAAAATTAGGGGGTCTTCCTGTGATGTTCCCAGACATGCATAGATCAACTTGGGTTCTGTCTACCCCAAACTATCTTATCTTGCCCACCGCGCTCTATTTTCCTTCTCCGACTTCGTTACTTCTTTCTATAATAGTCCCTTTTGGAAAAATTATTAACACTTGAACTTTTTTCTTGGATATCTGTGCGGTACATGGGCCTTTAATATCTGGATTCTACTTGCCGTGTTTCACCTAATGAAAGCACCTTCCACGCTTGCCTTCAGTTGAACAGCCTAACGTTGATTCCTTGAGTCCACATATGGAGAACCAATTGTTCACTAGATGTTTGAACACTCCCTGAATCTGCTATGCATAGGAAAGTTACAATAAAATGGTTTATTTCAAGCAAAATCACTTTATTAACACGGGAGACATGGTTTTATAGGTTCATGCATGCTTTAGTGTGGGTCAGATCTTTGTTCCTGTTTATAGTTAAATAATATTTCATTGTGCACATATGCCACATCTTATTTTTCCAGTTGTTATCTGATGGACATTTGGGTTGCATGAAGTTTTTAGGCTCCTTTGAATAATGTTGCTATGAATATTTACGTATGAGCCTTGGATAATGTGTTAGCTAGTTTTATGTCAACTAGACACAAGCTAGAGTAATCTGGAAGAAGGGAACCTCAATTGAGAAAACTCTGCCATAAGATGCAGCTGAAGACATTTTGTTTTTAGTGATTGATAGGAGAGGGCCCAGTCCATTATGGGTGTCATTCCTGGGTTGGTGGTCCAAGTCAGTAAGCAGCACCCCTCCATGGCCTCTGTATCATCTCCTGCCTCCAGGTTCTTGCCCTGTTTAATGAGTCCATGCCTTTATTTCCCTCAGTGATGGACTATCACCTGGATGTGTAATCTAAAATAAAGTCTTTCCTCCCCAGGTTGCCTTGGTCATGGTGTTTCATTAGCAATAGAAACCCCAACTAAGACAGATAGATATTTGCTTTCATCTCTTCGGCCACACATGTCGGGAGTGGGGATTCTGAGTAATATGGCTACTCTGTTTAACTTTTAAGGAACTGTCTAGGAGTGTTTGTGGTTTAAACAGCAAGGTGGGTGAGGTCTCAGCATGTCAGTGTGTGTGTGTGTTTTTTTTGGGGGGGGTTGTTAAGAAAGCTGGTGGAAAGATTCCTCTGTTCCTAGGATGGGGGGGGGGTTGTTAAGAAAGCTGGTGGAAAGATTCCTCTGTTCCTAGGATGCTTACAGAAGCAGCTTCCCACAATGAGCTGTTTATTTCACTACTCCCTTCTCTTCAGGTTTTAAATGACTTTGTGTGTGTGTGTGTGTGAGAGAGAGAGAGAGAGAGAG